CACACACACACACAACTTATAAAATTGTAATAATACACGTTTTACCCCTCTATGAACACTACTTAGTTCAATAAGGAGGCAGGCTGCTTCGACCATGGTTGAGAGGGATGCAACGCCCAAAGAAAAAATATACAGAGACTCTCGATAAAAATTCTCCTCACACGGTAATCTAACGCCCGTATTCTGCGTTCGACGACTCCCAGGTGGGGAAGATATTTTATAGACTGGTGTCTAAGATATTCGATAGAGTATTTCCGTCTTTATACTGAGATGCATCCCACACAACCAGAATCGGCCCTGGCATGCGAGGGCGTAGCAGCCCGCTTCCTGTAATTATTTACAACCAAAGGGTCAAAACACAAAACAGAGTAAGAGAGAGAGAGAGAGAGAGAGAGAGAGAGAGAGAGAGAGAGAGAGAGAGAGAGAGAGAGAGAGAGAGAGAGAGAGAGAGAGAGAGAGAGAAAGAAAGTTTTCAACGTACAGATTTTAATTTCTATTTACATCGAAATTTAGTCTTGAGAACAAAGATGAGACAAGTTTGTTTTGTTGTTGTTGTTGTTGTTGTTGTTGTTGTTGCTGTTACTGTTACTGTTGTTGCTGTTTTGGTGCGTTGGTCTAAAATTACTCATAGTCAATAGGGGGGGGGGGGAACAAATGTGGAACTGCGATGAACTTCACAGCTCTTTCCAGTTTTCATGCATATCTGTAAACATGTGTTATGAAAATCAAATGTGGGGCCCAAATCGCAAGCAACATTCATTACTGTCCCTTGAATTTTCCTGGAAACGCATAAATTTAAGGGGGTTAGATGGGGGGGGAGTTTGCCTCTTCCTTTTGCAATCCCCCCAAAAAAGTATGGAAAGCCCCTATTCATGTATAGAACTAAATTGAGACATCTGCTTGAGATATTGTTTGTCATATCCCACAATCCACACTCCTGAAAAAAGAAGACTCATTGTGTGGTCATACAAAACAGTTTCAGTTTTAGTGGGTTTTTTAAGTTTACAGCACTTGCAACACACACACACACACACACACACACACACACACACACACACACACACACACACACACACACACACACACACACACACACACACACACAAGTCATATGAGTACCGAATATTAGAGGTGTTACTAGAGAGCAACAGACAAAGAAAAGAAGTAAGAGAAATAAGGACGACAGATGTTGGGTGGGAAAGAAGGAGAGAACCACACTGGAGCACGCGCCAGCCACACACCATACAAAACAACACTAAACATTTTCCTCTTTGATAGCACGTAGAAAATACTTATAGGCCTATACTGCTGTGTCAACATGCCACAGGGTGCCGGTGCTTTCATCACTGTCAACTTTATGTCAATACCATACAACATTCTTTTGAGCAACGTATGGCTGCCGTGCCTCGATGTATTCATTGCTTTGAAATTGAAAAAGTTTTCACCCTATAAAACGTATGTCTAAAACTATTGAAATATACTCCCTGTTTAAATAAAGCGAAAATCACCCTATAAAACTGATGTCTTAAACTATTGAAACATACAACCTGTTTAAACAGAGCGAAAATAAGAGGAAGCGAGGGGGGGGGGGGGGGAGAATTTGCATTAAAAACGACAAAGGCAAACTTTGATACGTGTGAACTAAAAGACTGACTGAGTTCGGAACATAATAAGGAAAATTTTATTAGGATATAGTATCTTACTCTATGTTTCTAAAAAAATACATGCATAATGTACCAGCTTTTTTCAAATACAACCTAGTTACATACTCATTTTGCAAGATATTGTATGGGCTCTATTTTGAAAGGTTAACAGGTACACCGTTCGCAGTCCCCTTCAGTTTCCTTCACAGCCAATGTAAAAAAATATGCACGTATATCCAGAAGTGTATTAAGTGTGGTAAAGACTGTATGTATGTTTGCGTATACGTGTGTTTGTCAGCAAGAGTGTGTGTGTGTGTGTGTGTGTGTGTGTGTGTGTGTGTGTGTGTGTGCGCGCGCGCGAGTGGGAGAAAGAGAGAGGGAAAGAGGGGGGGGGAGATAGATAATATTACCTATTTGTGTTGCAAATATCGTAAAACTCATTGTTAAAGAGAGAGAAACAGAGAGAGAGAGATAGAGAGAGAGAGAGAGAGAGAGAGAGAGAGAGAGAGAGAGAGAGGGGGGGGGATAGAGACAGAGAGAGAGAGAGCAGAAGGAGACAGACAGACAGACAGACAGACAGACAGACAGACAGA